GAAATCTCTCCTAGTCCAAACAAGTATTTAATCCTTGCTGTCCAGTGAACTTGTATAACTAATATTTTTTGGTTGAAAGTTGAAGTGGAAAACAATCCATCAAAACCATTATATTCAAGGCATGCTGTCAATGATAACTGTCATAATGGCTTTATGCTCTTAACCCAACTGTCAAGCCACCAACGGCTAGTGACGTAACTGGACACATGTGCAGCACCATGGCAACTGCTGATTAGAGACTAAGATGGCAGCTTCCTTAGGTTGTAAGGAATAGGAGGGTTTAGTTCCTCTTTAAATAAAGAACTCCACAAAGTGTGAGTAGAAAGGATTTTTGGAGGTTAATGCAATATGTTAATCACACTCACTCTCTCTGGCTGCCTTTCAAAGATACAGCACTTATTTCCCTGAGCATTACTTCAACAGAATTAGCTGGACTCATGAACTACTACTTAAAAAAACATTTAGGGTTTGTTTAAATTTACACGTGGGAGGATTTGAAAATGCATGATTAAACCTTGTTTTTAGGGATCCCTAAATATGCAACCCCGTTTTAAGCTACAAAGGCAGCGGATGAGAATGTTTGCACGTGCTGTGGTTGCCACAATTTGCTTTGCACCAAAAGTCATTGATCCTGTTACTTTCATTGGGCAGTACCACCGCCAAATGCAGCCCCTTCAAGCAAATGGGGACATGCTGCTAATGCCCCACAATTCTGGAGGAAAGGCCTCTGAAAAGCAATCTGAATGTGGATCACTTTTTCAGAAGCACAATAGATTAGAAATGCATTTTATTGAAAACGAGTTTACATAAATATTTTGATAACTTGTTCAGGAATGAACATATGCTTTCTTTGTCCAAGAAATGCAATACATATTTAAAGACAACCAGACAAGAATGGGCATATGGAAATACCTGAACCTCCACTCTTAGGTTGTAATGATAATGAAGCCTTACCACCCAGGTGTGTGAGCCATGTGCTTTTTTGTACCAGTAGTTTGTCCCTGCCTAAGTAGACAGGTCACCTCAGTGTGAAGATGCAAAGCTCCCATAAAATTTGACTCATGTCATATTGATGACTGGTCACAACATACATTTTCATTTTAGAACATTGGCAATATACAGTAATAGCAATACAAACATTAGTTATTTTTGACAATACTGTAAGCTTACTTGAGAAACTCCTTTCATGTGTTGAGTGTTGGCTATGTGCTGACCATCTCTTTCAACAACTTTGTGAGATCTCTGCATTCTTTGCAGCTTCTCCTCTGCTTGTCTTTTTGGTTCACATTTGGTTTCTAAAACCTACATATCCCAAGGTAGCTTGCTGCCTGCAAGCAGTCAGTGATGATGACACAAGTGGGTGTGTTTCCTGGACTGACTGTACCTTGTGAAATTCCTACTTTTCAGCAACTCTGCAGAATATTTGTAGGTAGGAAGCCAGGCTTTGTGAAATGGGTGACACATCAATGGCTACTCACAGGGCATAGTGAACATGTGTCACTGAATATAAGGAAGTACTGTATATGGGTGAGATTCTGCAAAAAGTATAATTTCATACTTCAAAGTCATTCAGTTTAATAGCCATAGGCTTGAAATAATTGCAATGCAACAAATAAATTAATGTAGAATTTTATATTTTGACCGTAGATACACTTTAAAGTGGGTGTAAGACCTATGAAGAAAGCATAGCCCTCTATAGTGTGTACTATCCAGGGCACTAATGCTTGGTACACACTATGAAACCCCCCTATCCCAAAGTAGAATAACATGGACTTTAGAGGCACCATAAACACCAACTTAAAATACAAAGCATATTTTATTGTACAGAAACTTTGTGGTTTTTTTTAAATACTAGAAAACGTATATATTGTATTCATATATATTGTACACACTATGATTACACAGGAAGTTGCTGCACTAACAATGCAATCTTAGTACAGCAATCTCCCTGCTGAGCTATTGTGTTCTGCCAGGGAAACTGCCCCCAGCCCAAAACACACACACCGGTCAGTGCTTGCAGCCATTGGCTGTGAGTGCTGATTAGATGCTGATCGGCAGATGTTTTTCTGGCATTCCCATTCTACAGAAGCTGGACATTTGGCCAGCTTCTGTCAGACAGGCTGCCGTACACATGGGTCGAATGTCGGCTGGTTTCTGCTGAACCTTTGTTCCTGATCCCAGTTTTAGTTCCTCCTTCCCATCTGCTCTCTGCATCTTTTCCCCTGTTCTTCTGTGTTCCCCATTTTGCATATAGTTAGCCGTTAGTCTCTCTTTTAGGTTGTCTAGTTAGGTATTTTGTCACTGGGTTTTCGGTTCACTTATATCTTTGTTTGCTGATGTTTGTATGGATTTTGGTTAACTGCATATAATTCTCATTAATCCTATGGTTCATACTTATGCGGATTTTAGTGCAGTTTTCCAGTTTGTAGAAATGCACCACAATCAATTTAACATGATTTCCTATGGATCTACAGGTGAAACTCAAAAAATTAGAATATCGTGCAAAAGTTAATTTATTTCAGTAATGCAACTTAAAATGTGAAACTAATATATGAGATAGACTCATTACATGCAAAGCAAGATAGTTCAAGCCGTGATTTGTCATAATTGTGATGATTATGGCTTACAGCTCATGAAAACCCCAAATCCACAAATCTCAGAAAATTAGAATACATGCAACCAGAAAATTATTACATGCAATCAATAAAACAAGGATAACATAGAACAATATCGGACCTCTAAAAAGTATAAGCATGCATATATACTCAGTACTTATTTTGGGCCCCTTTTGCAGCAATTACTGCCTCAATGCGGCGTGGCATGGAAGCTATCAGCTTGTGGCACTGCTGAAGTGTTATGGAAGACCAGGATTCTTCAATAGCGGCCTTCAGCTCTTCTGCATTGTTCGGTCTCATGTCTCTCATCTCTTTCTCTTGGCAATGCCCCATAGATTCTCTATGGGGTTCAGGTCAGGCGAGTTTGCTGGCCAATCAAGCACAGTAATCCCACGGTCATTGAACCAGGTTTTGGTGCTTTTGGCAGTGTGGGCAGGTGCCAAGTCCTGCTGGAAAATGAAGTCAGCATCCCCATAAAGCTCATCTGCGGAAGGAAGCATGAAGTGCCCAAAATCTCCTGGTAGACGGCTGCGTTGACCCTGGACTTAATGAAGCACAGTGGACCAACACCAGCAGATGACATGGCTCCCCAAATCAACACAGACTGTGGAAAGTTCACACTGGACTTCAGGCATCTTGCAGTGTGTGCCTCTCCATTCTTCCTCCATACTCTGGATCCTTGGTTTCCAAATGAGATGCAAAAGTTGCTCTCAACAGAAAAGAAGACTTTGGACCACTGAGCAACAGACCAGGTCTGTTTTTCTTTACCAAGGTAAGACGCTTCTTATGTTGTTTGTTGTTCAGGAGCGGCTTGACAAGAGGTATACGTATACCACATTTGAATCCCATGTCCAGGATCCGTCTGTGTGTGGTGGCTCTTGATGCACTGACTCCAGCCTCAGTCCACCCCTTGTGAAAGTCCCCAACACTTTTGAATGTGTTTTCCTGACAATCCTCTCCAGGCTGCGGTCATCCCTGCTGCTTGTGCACCTTTTTCTTCCACATTTTTCCCCTCCGCATAACTTTCTATTAATGTGCTTTGATACAGCACTTTGGGAACATCCAACTTCTTTTGCAATTACCTTTTGAGGTTTTCCTTCCTTATGGAAGGTGTCAATGATGATTTACTGCACAACTGTCAGGTCAGCAGTCTTTCCCATGATTGTGATTCCTACTGAACCAGACCATTTAAAGGCTAAGGAACCCTTGGCAGGTGTTATGGCTTAATTAGCTGATTAGAGTGGGACACTTTGAGCCTAGAATATTGCATCTTTTCACAAAATTCTAATTTTCTGAGATTGTGGATTTTGGGTTTTCATGAGCTGTAAGCCATAATCATCACAATTATGACAAATCGTGGCTTGAACTATCTTGCTTTGCATGTAATGAGTCTATCTCATATATTGGTTTCACCTTTTAAGTTGCATTACTGAAATAAATGACTTTTTGCACGATATTCTAATTTTTCCAGTTTGACCTGTAGTTCACATCTGTGCCGATGAAGATTTCTGATAGGGCCAGGGACTTCTTTTCCAACAGCAGACCAGAACCGCATCAAAAATGCATATACATGCATTTTTGGAGCGTTCCCTGCATGACAACAGATGCCCCTCCCCCCTCGCAATATTTACTGCTTCCCCGCCACCCTATAGTAGAACAATAGAACAGTGGGCAGTGCTGTGCAAAATCACGTATATATACATGTGATTTGCATTTCCGGGTAGAGAGCACGCGCCACCTTACTAACGCCACAATTTGTAGCTAGGCATGTCAATCACCGGGTCCTGGCCTGAGATTCCCCGTGGCACCCGGTGATTGCCATGGAAAGTTGACAGGGGAGAGACCTGTCACAGGTCTCTCTCCCGCCAGCAAGGACATGCTGTTTGAATTTCTATGCATAGCAGAGAAATACAAAACAGCATATCTCCAAGGAAAAACAGCACACACAGTAAAACACACACAGATAACCCTTTGATCGCCCAAACGTTAATCCCTTCCTGCCCAGTGTCAATAGTACAGTGTCAGTGCTTTTTATTAGCACTGATCACTGTATTAGTGTTACTGGGGATGTCAGTGACAGTCAGTTCCCACCCAGTGTCAGAATGCCTGCCACAGTCCCGCTATAAGTCACATTACCAGTATAAAAAAAAAATAAAAATAAAACTTTTAGCAAAGACATGCAGCAGAATACATTTTGACCTACATTTATGATGAAATTTGATTTTTCTTTTACATTTTTTATTAGACATGTTTAACCGCCTCCCACCAGCCATATAGTACGATGATGGGTGCAAGGCAGTTCTCTCGTTCTGGGAGGACGTCATATGACGTCCTCCCATTCTAACCGTGCATGCACGGCTCCGGGAGGGTTCAGCGCGGCGCAGACCACCATTCAACAGAAAGAGCCAAAGATGTCGGCTCAGTCATGTGATCAGCTGTGTCCAATCACAGGGAAATGCCGGTTCGGCATTTCTCTCCTCGCGAGCTGTCACACTGAAAGCTCGTGAGGAGAGGAGAGCAGGTAATTGGCATTCCTCGGAGGGGACATGTACACAGATCATCAGAGCACTGATAATCAGTGTGCCCTGATGATCTGTGTAGCCCCAGCAGTGCCACCTGTCAGTGTCCATCAGTGCCAGCTGTCAGTGCTCATCCATGCCACCTGCCAGTGTCCATCAGTGCCACACCAGTGCCACATTTCAGTGCCCATCTGAGCTGCCTTTCAGTGTCACCCATCAATGGCAGTCAGTGCCACCTATCAGTGCTGCCAATCAGTGCCACCTATCAGTGCCGCCAATCAGTGCCACTCAGTGCCGCCTATCAATGTGCATCAGTGCCGCCTATCAGTGCCCGTCAGTGCTGCCTATCAGTGCCAGTCAGTGCTGCCTATCTGTGCCACCTATCAGTGCCATATATGAGTTCTGCCTTTCAGTGCCCATCAGTGATGCCTGTCAATGTCCATCAGTGCCTCCTCATCAGTGCCACCTATCAGTGTCCATCAGTGCAGCCTATCAGTGCCTATCACTGAAGCCTCATTAGCGCACATCAGTGAAGGAGAAAAATCACTTATTTACAAAATTTTAGAACAAAAACTAAGAAAAAACGTTTTTTGTTTTCAAAATTTTCAGTGTTTTTTTGGTTTAAGAACAAATAAAAAACCCAGAGGTGATTAAATACCACCAAAATAAAGCTCTGTCACAAAAAATGATACACATTTCAAATGGGTACAGTGTTGCATGACCGCGCAATTGTCATTCAAAGTGTGACAGCGCTGAAAGCTGGAAATTGGCCTGGGCAGGAAGGGGGTATAAGTGCCCTGTAGGCTAGTGGTTAATAGCAAAAAGTCAAAAATATAGGTTTTTGATTTTGTTTCAAAATTGTTTTTGTTTATAGTGCAAAAAATAAAAATGCAAAGGTAATCAAATACCACCGAAAGAATGCTTTATTTTTGGGGAAAAAAATGACATCAATGTAATTTATATACATAACTGCAATTGTCAGTTACAGCAATACAATCACAAAAAATGGCCTGGTCAGAAAAAGGGGTAAATCCTCTGGAGGGCAAATGGTTAAATACATCTCAAAACATGCATTGAAAACATTCTAAAACATGTGTGAAACAAAATGCAAAACACACTGGGAAAATGCATCAACCGCAACCTGTATAAGCGTGAATCTAGCCTTAAAGCATACACAGTCTGGTCCCAGTTTCCTGAATGTAGCCATCCAGATTTCACCATCCCAGCTGCTGACAGTTGGTGACCAAAACTAAAACTAGCATTTTGCTAGCTTTGTTAACTGTGGCATTGCATGCTATTGGCAAGTCTGTGATCTACAAGCACCCTCAGATCCTTTCTGCATCACTGATTCTCCCAGGGGAACCCCTCCTAATGTGTATTTTCCCACTTAAGTGCATACATTTATAATTCTCAATATCAGACCTCATCTGTCATACAGCAGCCCAACCCCTTATTTTCTCTAGATCTTCTTGTAATGATGCTACATCATGTGCTGAAGGTTTTTCCCTGCCTAGTTCTAACGACTAACATTAAATTATGGTCAGATCATTCCCCCATTCATTTACCCCTCAGTCGGCCTACTGCATTCATTTAAGTGGTCATTGGTGCCTGAACGGCAACCTGTTGCAAGGTGTTCTATGTACCATGGCTATCTTGCAAGCTATCAGAGTATTTTCCCTTCACCATGCTTGGAATGATAATCAACTATCGACTAATGCAGGCCATAGACGGGTCGTTTATCAGTCGAATTTTCGTCCGTACGAAAAATCGGCCAATAGTCATGCCGTTAGTGGGGCCAGCCCGTGGGCCATTTTTTGCGGATCTTCTCATTTATTTTTATCGGTCTGCTGGAAAATCCATGAAAAAACAGACGTGGACATCGATCGCAGCATCGGCAACGGGCCGACCGATTTTTCGTTTATGGGCTGAAACATCCAGTCTATGGCCTGCATAAGTGGGAAGCCATGAAATGCATGGTCGGGGGTGGGGGTGGTTGGGCATGGTTATCAACTTAACCACCATATAGTAATATGACGGGTGCAAGGTGGTTCTCTCGTTCTGGGAGGACGTCATATGACGTCCTCCCATTCTCACTGCACATGTGCGGCTCAGGGAGCGCACAGCGCAGCGATTGGCGGTGCGCTGTGCCCCTCGGACACAGCGGATCACCGATCACGGAAAGAGCGAAAGATGTCGGCTCGGTCATGTGATCAGCTGTGTCCAATCACAGCTGATCACATGTAAACAGGGAAATGCCGGTTATCAGCATTTCTCTCCTCTCGAGCTGTCACACTGACAGCTCGAGAGGAGAGGAGAGGAGAGCCGGTAATCGGCTTTCCGCGGAGGGGATATGTACACTGATCATCAGGGCACTGATGATCAGTGTGCCCTGATGATCAGTGTAGCCCCAGCAGTGCCACCTGTCAGTGTCCATCAGTGCCTTATGTCAGAGCTTATCAATGCCTTGTGCCAGTGCCCATCAGTGCCACATATCAATGCCTACCAGTGCACATCAATGCCACATATCAGTGCCCATCTGAGCTGCCTTTCAGTGTCACTCATCAGTGCCAGTCAGTGTCACCTATCAATGCCAATCAGTGTCACTTATCAGTGCCGCCTAGCAGTGCCAGTCAGTGCCACCTAACAGTGTCAGTCACTGCCAGTCAGTGCCACCTAACAGTGCCAGTCAGTGCCTGAGGAAAAAGAAACTGCCTAATAATTATGCACACCTTGATATAGGGTGTTGATCTCCTAATGCAGGCCATAGATGGGTCGAAAATCGGCCGATTTTTCGGCCGAAAATAAAATCAGCCGATGGGCAAATCGGACCGGCCGATAAAAAATTTCGGATCGTTAGTGGGCTATTTGGTCGGCAATTAGTGGGCAAACCGGCCGATTTTTTGCCGATAAAAAATCTGCGCATGAGCAGTGACCTGCAAGAGGAAGACAAAAAGAAGAAAAAGAAGAAGAGAGGATGAGGAAGAGGATGAGGAGAAGAGAAGATGAGGATGAGGATGATGAAGAAGATGAGGATGAGGATGATGAGGAAGAAGAAGAAGAAGAGGAAGAAGAAGAAGAAGAGGATGAGGGTGAGGAAGAAGAAGAAGAAAAAGAAGAAGAAGATGATGAGGATGAGGATGAGGAAAATGAAGAAGAAGAAGAAGAAGAAAGAAGAAGAAGAAGAAAGAAGAGGAAGAGGAAGAGGAAGAAGGAAGAGATGAAGAAGAAGAAGTAGGATGATGAAAATGAAGAAGAAGAAGAATTCCAGTCCAGCAAAAAGTGTCCCTGCAGAGAGCTCCGCTATTTCTGACAGTTCTCTGACAGTTCTTTGACATTTACAGCGGTTGCAACAATGTATCTATTTGTTTCCGAATAAAAACATCTGAATAAAATCCTAAATGGAAACAAATAGATACAATGTTTCAACCGCTGTAAATGTGAAGGAACTGTCAGAGAACTGTCAGAAATAGCGGAGCTCTCTGCAGGGACACTTTTTGCCGGCTGTAGAAGGGATGAAAATCGGCCGATTTTTTTTTTTACCATTGATGGTAACGTCGGCCGCTTGAACGACCGAATTTTCGTTTTTTAAAAGAAAAATCTGCCGTTTTTTCTCCCCATCTATGGCCTGCATAAGGCCACACTCTCCCTCATTACACAAATACACATCACCTGATACGCTTAAATCCAATAAGCATCCAAGTTTACACAGCTTGGAGTTGAGCAATATGCAAAAAAAAATTATGGTTTGGTCAAAAAGCACACTTGCTTAATAATTGTGCACACAGTGTATAAAATAAACAAAACAAAATCCTCCATGCTACCTATCACAATCTCACCTAACTTACACACACAAATTCTGATGATTTCTCCTTTTTCTTGGGTATCCTCTTTACACCTGGGAATACAATTAACATTACCTTGCTCTAACATTTTCAAAATCAAATTCTCAAATCTGATTATAAAAATAATGGATTTACGTAGAGTTATCTCATAATATTACCTCTTGAGCAGGCATAATTGCAATTGTAAAGATGTTTGTCTTACCACACATTTTATACTTTGTCCGGGCCATTCCAGTACCAATACTAACCTCATTTCTCCAAAAACTGCAGACTTTTTGAAACAATTACATTTGGGAACACAAAAAAGCATGTGTCAATAAAACAGCCCTATATTCTTCTAAATATAACCGAGACGTGGGTGCCCCAGACTTAAAATCATATTTCAAAGTGATAATTTTGGAATAAACACAGCACTGGTGGTTGTCCCATACAAATAAGAGATGGGTTCAAATAGAACAGTACCTACTACCTATTAATGCACAATCCATGTTGGGAGCGATCACTCTAACTCAAAGTTTCAAGTTACTGCTTGGACACAGTAAATATAACCCTCCACACTTGGTTATCTGTCCTACAAACTTCCTCTCACACACACCCCACAATTAATGGGCTTCACACCCCTACTCTACATCTCAGCACGTACACCTGACCTAGAGCTGAAATCATATTGTACAGCATTTCAATACTTTTTCAAGTACCTAAGACTTCGCCATACACTACAAAATTTGGAATACAAGAAAGATCCTTTTCTTTCTTTGAAAATACAGATCCTTGCAAATGTGGCATATCATTCATATACAATCTTCTCCTTCAATGTTCTCGATCTGATAAATTATTAGTGATGCAAAGATGGAAGAGAGATCTGGGAAAGCAATACTCTATTCAACAGTTGAAGGCTGCTGCACATTGGACTAGGAAAGCAAACAGATGTATTAATCACTGGGAGTCAGCACACAAACTAGTACACAGATAGTACCTTACCCCACATAGCAGTTGGCAGCACAGTCTCCCTCCCATCACTCCTCACTTTGTTGGAGGAAGTGCAACCAAATGGGGTCCCTGTATCATATATGGTGGGAATGTCCTCAGGTTGTCCCATTTTGGTCAGATACTTTCTCATTTATTGCATCAGTTACTGGTACAGCTCAATTTCCTTACTCAGCTTTAGCACTTCTGGGATTAGGAATAAACTCCTGGCCTACTCAATCTACATCCATGTTGCTACATATTCTGATTGCTGCAAGATTAAGCATTGCCAGACTTTGGAAACAACACACTGCTCCTTCCATCTCTACAGTAATTGAAATATTAAACACAAATACAGCTTTTGAAAAAAAACTTTGCTCACTTGACACATTTCAGAAAAGCTGGAATTTATGGCTTAAAGATCATTGCTGTACTGTTTTATAATAGGCCTTAAGATACACTATATAATTATCACTAATGTCAC